AGAAAGGAGCAGCATCTGTAAAACCAATATGCTTTTTAGAAGACGAAGAAATGAGTAACAGTGTTGCAGTGGACTCAGGGTTTGCAATATTAAAGACTTAAAGATATTTTGCTCTCTGTCATCCTTCATGCTTTCTTAATGTAGCTGTGGAGGAAATGGATTTTTCATAGACAAGTGTTATTGTAAGCCTCTCCTGTTGTATTACCAACTATCCCAAGTGTTTCCATGATCTGGTATTGAATAAGCAATTAAGATACATTGGCTTTACAAAAGGCCTGATCTTCGTGGAGATTAAAACTGTTGGAACTGATCTGTTTCTCAAAAGAGCTGCATGTGTTTTTAGATATTCTTTGGCTATGGGAACTATAATGAAAAGTGTTTCCAGTTCAAAGTCAACCACTACAACCCTTTTAACGTATAGGTACTGAAATATGCTTGTAAAAAAACCACAAATGTCTGGGCTCCTGGAGTACACAGACATAGCCAGTGTGGTCTTCAGCAAAGAGGAACTTTACATTCTGAAAAAGAAACTGCCTCATATTATGTTCCTAACTAACAGGTACTACAAACCTTCAGTAAGAGATGTGGTATGACCTCCAGGAGATGGAAACACCCCCCCCCCCGTTAATTCTTATGTAGCAGAATATATATTTTCCTACACTTCACTTGTCAATCACAGGCTAAATTGTTTGGTTATTTTTCTTGGTTTGCTCAGGACTCTGTAATAGAAGTCCTAATGGGCTAATTCCACACATCTTTGACCCCCCCCCCAAAAAAAGAAGAAGAAAAGGAAGTTCTTAATAATTTCAAAATCAGCACTGACTCTGATCAAGTTAAGCAACATAAAAAGGTAGGTAGCAGACAGCCTCGTTTCTAATATCCAGCAACGTCTTATGAGTGTGGTTTTATCCAGCTTGGCATGGCAGACTTGATATATGTCCGTGTCCATGCCATATTAATTTGATGGTGTATTTTCTTTTTTTCAGAAGGAAGCATGATGAGGGATGCATACCAATGTTCCCTTTACAGTCCAAACCAAATCACATAAAAGAGAAATGTAAAATAAAAGGTTGTCTTTATTCATAAACCGCTTCTGCAGTGAAATTACTTCTACTATAATGAGAGCTGTATTATTTATTAACTGCAGCACTGGTATCATCTATTAATATCATTTTCCAGTAAAATATGGATTTGAAGAAATTGGCTTTGAAGCAAGCTTGCTAAAGTGGTGACTCAAAGTAAAATAGGAAAAAGGTGAAGATGTTTAAACTCTCTGTGTTTTATATTATGATTAGATTAACAAAGCTGGAAAGTTTAAATCATAAGAATTTTTCTTTGTAATGCAAGGGGGTTGCCATACCAACAGTCCATAGGGCCAAGGACTAAGGGCACTTCCAGATGAGGATTTTATTGTGCATCTGCTACCGTGCCTCATTCACAGAACTTTATCAGGGTCTAGAGATCACTGGTTGAAATCCTGTGGCTTAGTGTAGCAAGCTCCATTCAAGTAGGCCCATTGAATCAGTGGAGATGTGATGACTCAACTCTTCCTTATGTTCTATTGACTCAAATACGCCTATTCTAGTTGGAACTTACTATGCTGAAGGAAGTCACAATTAGAGTAAGCCCATTTGAATCAATGGAACTTACGAAGGAGTTGACACACCAAATCCCCACTGATTCAATAGGCTTACTCTAGTGCAACTTGCTATGCTAAACAACAAGATTTTACCCATTGTCTTTCATTTGTGCCCTTTTTAAACCACTTCTTTCATCCTGTCTCTTTCATGAAGTTATCTGTTCAGAAGAGAATGACAGGAATAGTCCATTTCCATCAATGGAACTAGGAGGGATCCATCTGGAGCCATCCTGTGTTGAACTCCCATTGCCCCTTACCTTCAGTCTAACAACTTTAAATAAAGCATGTGAAAGCCCTTTCAACCCTAGAGATTCAATGATTTCAAACCTTGGTTGGTCTTACAGACAGGGGAGATAACAGGCAGTTTCATTTATTAAGTGAGATTATTATCAGTCAGAATGAGGCCCGCAAAGAAGTATTTCACAATGAAAATGAAATAATAGTAACGCAAAGTTGAGATTTCCCATTTGAAACAAGAGTTCTCATTTCTTAAATCCTAGTGATACATATTGTGCCCAAGTTATTATAGTGATTTCTACTACCTGGTCAGTTATACTGGATACTCTCTTATCCGATCAATCTAAATAAGCTACAGGAATTCTGAGGCCTAGGAATTTGTAACGATGCAGCTGACTCGGTTCATAAAGGGAATGGCCAGAAGACTTACTGGCCACTGGCCAACATAAAATTAAGACTATGCATCTATTCTCCTTGTTTAAATTGCTCTATGCTCTGCCCAATTCCAATAAAAAGAGGCCATTGCTTCTAATTGTAATGGCAAAGGGGGCACACGGCCAAGTACTGCTTGGTCTTCCACCAATGCTCTTTTTCCTTTGTCTAAGCTTTAATACACAAAGTTGGGAAGAAGGTGAAATGCTTCACGAAATATATGGCAGATGAGGAGGAGGGTTCTGCACTTCCTGCCCTTTTTCTGTCCCTTGCTTTAAAACTGGACCCTCTACTCCCCACCTGTTTCAGAATGGAGCAGATCTGGTTTTAAAGACACAGATTTGGCACTGTCAAGTTTACTTTGCATCTAGCTCTTTGCTGAATTGTGGTCACTTATTAGCAGAAAATGGGAACAGGAAATAATTATCCTTCTCCTATTGTTAGAGCGGATTTAATACAATAATTTGTGGAATGCTTTAGTAAAGACTATTATTCACACATGAACAGACTTAGCCAAAAAGAAGATGAAGTAAGAGTAGCAGCAGCAGAAGTACTGAACGCAAAGGTAATATCAAATCCTTCAGAGAGCCATTGATCTTCAAATAAATTTCAAGACTAGATCAATAAAATGTCGATCTTGAAATATAAAGCATCTAACTGGGTGTTAAAAATAACATTTTAAAACTGGATTTGCTAGCTTAGTTGTTCTTTTTGTTGTGGCACAAAGATGGGTTGTAAAATGTAATTTAATGTAATTGTATTATTTTTCTAATAAATCACAGTTTCTACTTTTCAGTCTAGTAGGTAAGACCTGTCTATGTGCTTTATTTCTTCTTGAAAGGTCTAGGGTAGCTGGACATTCAACACATTTTTTCCTACAGCAGTGTTAGCTAAAGCTCCATGTAAGTTTTCTGCTCAGTATAGAACTTAATATTAAGTATACAGAAGGTCTATATAAAAAAGTGGCAATCCTATCTGAAGACACTTGCACTTCAAGTTCTGGTACATTAATTCTTTAGTGAATGATTTCAGATTTAAAATGACTTTCTCTTAAAAATCCAACATAAACACAACATGTTATATTCCATATTAGGGGCATTTACATACAGTGCAAACAGAATAAGGGAAGCACAGATACTATTTTAATGTTCCATGAGAAAGCAGCTTAGGCTCCAGTTCTATATAAACTTACTTGGGAGTAGATCTCACTGAATTCGGTGGAATGTAGTTCCAGTAAACACAAGAAATGCTGGTTAGAAGTCTCCACGTTACTTCATCAAATAGTCAATTATATAAAATCCATTTGTACCAAACATTTATCTATTCAAAAACTAGGACCAGGACTTAGCCATATTTACAAAAGGCTTTTAATGCAAGCAAAGCATTGTCAAGTGTAGATGGACATAATAATAAAAATTAATTCTCACAATAAGCCAGTTTTTTTTAAAAAAAACTGCCTGTTGGCTTTAAAAACAAATTTAACAGCTCATTAATTTTAAGAATGCAATCCTCTTACACACTACCATGGGATAAAATCTAACTGAACTGTATGAAACTCACTTCTTAATAGGTACATGTAGGACCACTAGCTAGATAACTCTATAGCTTAGGTATCTGGCTGCAGTGGTTGAGAGATTGGTTCCCCAATGTGACTCCTGTAAGTAAAACCAGCTTGTGTGGCTGTACGCAAGCTGCACATTTCGAGGATGCCCCCAGCAGAAGGCATAGTTTCTACCCAGGAAAGGGTCACCAAAAGTCAAAATCAACTTGATGGCACACAATTATATATTATAATAATTTGTAGGCCCTCATTGTTAATAAGATATTTGCATTTCTGTATTACTGAGATGCACAATTCTTCCATGCTCCTTTTGATAGCTGATAGAATGTGTTCAGCCTTGTTCTACAGAAGCCTCACTGTAAATACATGTAAAATTTTCAGTTTATGTCATGAACAATATATAAACAGTTGTGTGAATTATATTTCCATTAGTCTTCCTACAAAATATGTGCATGAAAAAGGTCGCTCCACCTGTTGTTATTATTATTTTTAAAACTACGAAGTTCAGGGGTATTACATGTTGTGAAGTAGTTGTTGTGTTCAGTACTGCACTCTATTCCTAAGTCTGCAACAAGTATTTTGCAGGTTTTCTAAATAAGGACATAATTGAGCTGGTCATATAAGGATAGTATTGAGGTAGATATGTTAGGATTTTCTTCTTTCTCAAAAGTTGCCTAGAGATAGTTCTCTAATTTCATTGTATGTTCTGTGTTCTGCACCAAATAAAGGCTTGCCAAGCAAGAAACATTTAAGCACGATCATATATAGTAAAAGACCTTCTACCAGCATGTCACTAAAACCTATTTCACTTCACTTTTCAAACATATCTAAAACTTTAAAAGGGCCATTTATTTTACCTCTAGCAGCCCTTCTTACAAAAACAAAACAGAATATAGATTTCTATAGCTCAGTAACCCTTCCTTGCTTTCTAACCACATGAATACTACACTGAATGCAAAAGTGGACCTCATTAAAACTGTATCTTCTACAAGCTGTTCACAGAAAGGATTGGATATCTTCAAGATGGAAAATGGCACATCGTTAGGAAAGGGAGCCCTTATTTTAATTAACACAATAATCTGCTGTAGAAATGCATGCAGCAAATTAAACGTGGTTTTTTTCCATTTCATATTATCACTACAGATGCCACGCCATCAAGCAGAAAGGGATGCTTTCATTCCTATCCCATAGTTTGAAAGCTATGCAATCCAACCCTATTCCTGCTTACACAGAAGTAAGTTCACTAGCTTCAATAGGACATAATCACAAGTAAGAGTGCACAGACGTGCAGCCATACATGTATATTTGATATGAAATGAACTTTGCAACTAATTCAGTTTACAACCTAAACAAAACACTCTGGAAGATCATACATCAACTGTTATTCACTAAAACAAGCCAGTAGAACAAAACATGTTATAATATTTACTATTAATTTAGTAAGGATAACTTTTCTCAGTGAAAAGTCTACTCATGTGAGGTTAGTGCTGTACTTCTTCAGGTTGCTGTAAACAGCTATAATGATTAGGTATAATTCAGCGAAAAGGAAACAGAAACATATTAAAAAACAAAATAAAAACAAAAGTACTTATGTGAAAAGAATGGTCAACATGCATCCAATTCCATATCATTATTTGACATCAGTGAGACTAGTGACCGAAAAACAACTCTGAAACTGGTCTACGTTTTGTCGTGGTTTCTTCCTGTTCCTCCTCCAAGGCTTCAGACAAAGAAGAATAGGAAGAGAAAGTACCTCTGGACCTCAGCTTCCTCCTTGGGGCTGTGGCTGCGTTGAGAAACCTGTTCAGGGAAGCAGGTTTCTTTAAACCTTTGGTCAGCTCGTAGAAAGTCGTGTCATCGGACAAAAGCCCCAGGACAGTGCTGGTGGAGCTCAAGATAGAAGCAGCCACTTTTGCGTTCTTCTTGATGGAGGCGTTGTGTCCGGTCATCGTATGAAGATCCGGGTCCCGCAAGAGATGCCTTACGGCAAAAGAAGACCCTTCTTTTAAGTACTGAAATGGTTTTTTGCCACTGTAGTCTCTCAAGTTAACCTTAGCATTGTAGTCCCGGACCAACTGGGCAATGACCTCTTCCTGCCCATGTATGGCAGCAATATGGAGAGGAGTATAACCCCCATGAGACTTGGCATTCACATTGACATAAGCACCACCTTTCTCAACCACCTCAATCACTTTACGCAACATGTCACAATTTCCACTCTTAGCTGCCCAGTGCAGAACAGTGAATCCCGTCATGAAATCTCTTTTGCTGGCTAGGTTCTTGTCACTTAGCAACAGGCCATGCAGCTGCTGGGACCACTGGCCAGCTGTGGCTTTCACTAGCCACTCGTGTTCCGCAGCTTCCAGTGGGACCGTTACTGCCCCGTCAGCTTCCTCACCCACCTTTTGTGACTTTGGCACCCTCTTCAGGTATGGGGAGCTGGACCCCATCTCATCAAAGTGCCGCCTCCTTGTGCATGGGGACGCCGATGGGGTGACAGCCGAGGAACCTACCTGGAGCCAGTCTTTGGCTTCGGGCTGCTCCTGCTCAGGGGTCAGCACCTCGGGCTCCCTGAGGTCGCCGGAGGCTGGCACACAGCGCACAGGCAGCATGCAGGGTTTCAGAGGAGCAGCTTTGGGGCCCAGCCTGTCTCTGCCACTGGGAGGTCGGGGCACCTCCCCCTCTTTCTTTTGGAAGAAGCTCTTCAGCTGAGCCACGGGGAGGGCCTGGTTCTCCTCAGGGTCTCCCTGGTCAAAGGGGAGAGGAGACGTCCGTGGCCCGCCCTGGCTAGCTGGGGTCAAGGAGCCCTCGCCTTCCTCTCCCTCCTCTCCCTCTTCTTTTTCCTCCTCTCCCTCTTCCTCCGCCTTCTCCTCTTCCTCCTGAAGGCGGCCGGGGCTCCCGCCGGCGGGCCTGGCGCTCGGCTCC